TGCCAGTTAGTAACCAAAACAAAACCAAAAAACAGACAAGGTTTTTGACCTCCTTGGGCTTCTGTTCTGTCTCCTGTAAGATGTGTTTAATGTCTACCTTCCATGTCATCATATATGTACAAAACAATATGTATAAAGTAGTTGTCAACAGCGATCACTCATTAGTTCTGCAGTTAAATATTCACGGGTAACAATAGAGCCATTTCCAAACAGGGAACATCAGCCTAATGGACCGGATCGTTACGGCTCCCATGGCTGACATGGGTGTAAAGAGACCTACAAACTCAAGTTGTGCGCCTTTTCTTTCCCTCAAATCACCTTTCTAAACTTGAGGGAAAATGACCCTTTTCCCCTGGACTATTAGTGGCATTTTAATGCTATTTGGAACTGATGCATTTTTTTTTTTTTCTGAGAACACTAAAAAATCAAAGTTATATTTTCAAACATGTCCAGGCTGGGAGTTTTCTACTGGCAAGGACTGAGAACAAAGCTAAGAATAGTCCCTGAGAAAAAGTCTAGCTTTCAAAACAAGCGGCAGGAGGGGCCAAGGGAAACAAACCAGGGGACTTTTCTCCCAACCTGAGTGCTCTCCCTCCCGAGTTAGACAACAGTCACCAGGCAGCCTGGCTACATTCAGGAAAAGTTCAGCTAATTACCCAGCCCACCCTCTCTTGTTTCTTCCGATTGGGGAATTCACCAGAGTTGGCTCATTTAGAAGAAATTCCCATTAGTTATTCCTTAATTCCAAAGCAGTAGGCAAGGAAGCTTTGAGATAAGGTGCTGCCAAGCAGGAAGCAAAGTGAAGCCATGCCAGGCAGGAAGCAGAGCTAAGTCACACCAAGCAGGAAGCAAAGCCATATTAAGACACTGAAGTTTCTCATCATCTCAGGAGCTCCAGGAATGGGGCCAAAGAGTATGGAATCCTCCTGCACCTGACGGGAAAATAAAGCAAGTGAATGCACACACACACACACACACACACACACACACACACACACACACACACGCCGACACATGAACACACAGACGTGCACTCATACACTCACACAGACACATACATGACCAGAGAGTCATGCACATACATAGACACAGACACACACATACACTCACATACATGCACACACACAGGCACACACAGAGACATGCACACACACAGACACATGCTCTCTCACACACACATTTCTCTCTTCCTTGTTTATAATTCATGTTCTTCCCATCTGCAAGAATTCAAAAAGGCAGCTCGTCCTAAACACTCTTTATATATGTGCAGCATTGTCACAAAGCTGACCATCCCTGCACCTCAGCTCTCCAGTTTGGTCAAGACTCTGATACCTAAGGATGTGGGTTTTTTTGTTTGATTTTTTTTTTTTTGTTTGTTTGATTTGTAGTCCAAATTGGCAGTCCTCCTGCATCAGCCTCCTGAGCTTTGGGATTTCAAGCTTGGGACAGCACACTCAGCTAAGGTACATTTTACTGAGATGATCAGGGGACTCTTCTCCACAGATTAGGCTGAGAACCCTATATCTTCCTATGGGCGTGAGGAGCAGAGTGGGCAGACAGCGGGCTGTCTGAAGGCCTCTAGCTGCCGTATCCCCGGTGAATTTTTGGGGAATGAGCACTGTGCTTCAAGTCCTTTATCTTTCCTTCCACCCCTTTTACATTGAGGGTTTTAACCACTTCAGTGCTCCTGAGGGAATTGAAAGGTAACCAGATCAAATGTACACTGAACGTATGCATGCTTTGATCAGACAAGGAATGTGACTTCATGCTGTGATGGCTCAGTGACATCATCGCCTTCTTTTGCTATTTGGATGCAGAAGAGAAGGGCTTGCATACTGGAAACAAGAAGGGATCTTCGGTAGCATTTTCTTCCTCTACCCGTTCTATAAAGATAATTTAGATGTCATCAAAGTAGAAATTTGGAGGTGCTAAGGCTTTTGAAAACCCAAAAATAAGAGATAAGAAAGAAAAGCCTTTGCAGAGGTAGGAGAATGGGGAACTTCATCCGAGGAGGCAGGAGAGGAAGACGCTGCTCGGAATTCTCAGTTCCGTTCAGCAGTGACAATTGAAACATGAATTGAAGCATCTAGAAAGAGTTTCTCTTTCTTTCTTTCTTTCTTTCTTTCTTTCTTTCTTTCTTTCTTTCTTTCTTTCTTTCTTTCTTCTTTTGTTTCTTTTTTTGGTCACACCTTACCCAACAATCTGCTATCTCTACAGGACAGTCTTGGTTAATAAGTGTGTCAGTGACCCTACAGGCTCAGTTGGACCCTCACTCCCTCAGGAGCACTGAGGCGGTTTAAACCCTCAATGTAAAAGGTGTGGAAGGAAGGATAAAGGGCTTGAAGCACAGTACTCCTGAAGCAAGGATCTGTGGTGCCTGGTGGAGCATCGTGGTGTCTCTGTGTGTGCATCCTCTTCTTTCTGTTGTTCACATCCATGCAGGGCATTCCGTCTCCCATGACTGAGGCCCTCAAGAGCTCTATATCAGCCTAGGTTGAAAACTAAACAGATCAGAGCTAACTGGCTACATCTTCAGAGTCTGGGGAACTCCGTACAGACTGAAGTACGTGTAAGTAGCTTGCTTCTCGTGAGCTTTGTATTATTTGAAGGGAATTAATATTCAAAAAAACCCCAACCACTCAAGTCTCATCTAATTTCCTTTTCAAACTTACCTTCCACAACCACTGCTAAAGTGACTGTCCCTCCCTGGTGCGGGACAGGATGAACCAGATGAGGGACGAGCCAGACGACGTAGCTGCAGAAGGCTCTGCTTGGCCTGAGCTTCCTCAGGAGGTCTGTTTAGAGCTTCTCCAGCAACATATGCAACAAGGGCAAGTCCATCAACTCTCAATGCCCACGCACGGGACTTTCAAGTCCAGTCTCAGGGGCAAGACATAGGAAATGTCCTGGGAGAATGTAGGATGACAGGGTGAGCGGATTGGAAATAACATACCTCTAGTTATGTTTGTGTGCATCTTTAGATATACATGAAACCTCTTTTATTTGCAAATATCTTCTATGATTTGCTCTTATTTTTCTTTCTGATACTGAGGTCTCTACCTAGAGCTCATTCTGTATAAACTTAGAATACATGTTTTGCCCTTTTGCATTGGAGAAAGCCCTTGCCTTTGATGAGGATCTTCTGACAAATGAGGCTTAGAGCCAGCAGTTCCTTGCGTTGCCTGTTGTTTTCCCTTTCCCACTTGCTTCCTATTTCTGAGGAGCCCTGTCCTGTCCTCATGGCACCCCTTCCATGCTACTTACTGTCCTGGGTCTTTTTCTTGCCGCCATGCCTCACATCCTTTGGCAGAGAGCTCCAGTGATGGAAGGGCTTGAGGAAGAAGAAGGCAAAGACTTGGGAGTGAGAAGAGCAGAGCAGAGACCTCAGTATGAGTATAAGAACTGAAGGCACCACGGTCTGTGCAAGGGGGATGGACAAGGAGATCAGCTGTCTGAGTTTCAACTATATATCTCTGCGCAGTTAGATGAGAGAAACCTGGTTAGACAGATAGTTAGATGATAGATAAATAGACAGATGATAGATAGATAGATAGATAGATAGATAGATAGATAGATAGATAGATAGATAACATCTGGTTCCTTAATATCCTCATCTGTACCACAGGATAGGGTACAGGTTTCACAAATTATAGAACTAAAAAACAATACAGATGAACATGACAATATGCTCAGAATAAAGCATGGCACAGAGGAAGCACTCAGAAAGTTAGAGGTTATAATCAGGAGTCTAGGTCATTAAGTAGGTACTGCGTCACTATAGATATTGTATCACTACTCTCAAAACTAGAAATTTGGTTATAAAAAAAATCCATGGATGCAAATGTATGATTGAGGGTTTTTTATGACTTATTTGCAAAATAATTGTTAGGTACTTACTCAACATTTCAGATACATTTTCAAGATTTAAGTCAACGTACATATTTTTTTTTCTTCCGTTTTGAAATGATGTCTCTGGCCTCAAACTCCTGTGTCAGCCTCCCAAATGCTGGATGATGGGTATGTGCCACACTTTCTTGACTAGGCTTTTTAAAATTGCTAGATGCACATTTGTAATTCGTATGTAGGCACCTAGGTAGATAGACAGATAAACAGATCATATATGGACACAACTTTACTGCCTTAATCCTCCCTTAAAAAGATCTAGGTAGAGACCTCAGTATCAGAGAGAAAGACCTCAGTATCAAAGAGCAAGTTGTAGAAGAGATTTGTGAATGAAGGAGGTTTCCTGTACGTGATACCTTCAGATGCATATAAATAAAATCAGCGATGTATGGGTTACATTTCTACATATGCTGAACAATAACAACCATATTCAGCTAAGTAGGCTAAGGTGAAGGATTGAGACAGTGTCAATATCAAAATAAGTGAAAGATGGTGGGAAGGCAGAAGGGGTAAATTTTTATCTCTCATTTAATTTGTATCATATATTCAGAATAGGTGAGTGAGGCTTCTTTTGTAGCATTGTCATAGCTAGTGAGTAGAATGTGAGAATGAACACATGTTCATGAATCACTCCCCTGTACCACTGTGCCTGTTAGAATGGGCTAAGGGAGCAGGTGAATGAACAGAAAGTGGGTGCTGATGGATTAAAGAGAAAATTGAGAGTGATAGATTATGGATAATAAAATATTCTTAGCTTTGTTTATGTTTGTGAAACCCATTTCTACACATGAGTGATAACAGTAATTCAACATTATGACACAGGAATTAAAATCACATATTTGAATCATATTTGATAAAATTGTATATGAATTGCAGGAGCCCAGAAAAAGATTAGTTTAATGGGGTTTCTGACATCACTATGAAAGTGTTTTAACTCGGTGGATATTCCCAGAAAACTTTTTGGATGTGGTTGAGGATTTCCTCCTTACCAGATTTTGATAATAATGTCCTATGACTCACAGGAAGCCAGCTCCTCTATAAAGAGGCTCCAGCCAAAGCAATAACCAGTGGTCCTTGGCTGACTACACAACCAAACTGCGAGAAGAGAAAGACAGAAGTAGGAGCAGTGCCTCTGAGGATTCCAACGCTCAAACAACCATTGCAGAATAGTAAGTGAAGTGCAGATTCTGAGCCAGAGGAGACTTGGGTCTATACCATAGATTTATATGTGTATACACATATGAAAAAAAAAAAAAAAAAAAGCTTTCTAATGAAAAACTCTGTCTAAGCTGTTATAACAGTGTAACCTGCCTTTTCTCTTTATTTAAAAATAATTAAAATCTTAAAGTTTGCATTTATTTACCATAGTAAATGTCCGCAACCTAAGTGGTGAGGCACAGGAATCCTAAAACCTCACAGTGTTGACTTAAATGCTACGACAGAACCGTGTGAGGAACCCACACTTACAGTTTCCGTCTGTGACTAATTCCGCACTTTCTCTCCTCAGAAAAGCATCACCGGTCTAATCTCCGGATGACAGGAGCTGCTGGAGCCATGACTGCCTCACGCTCTCTCGCCACTCTCACTTTTGGTAAGCTGGAGTCAACCGAGACCAGGGTCACTCGCCCACTCATCAGTTCACCCCGCTGACTCTTAAGAGCGAGGGTATTTTGCTGTGTGGGGTTGTTCTGTGTTTTGTGTGGTGGTGAGCAAGATTGCTGACCTCTCCCTGTGGTTCTGCCCTGTGGTGGGAATACTTAGTTCCCTTACATGGGAAGGATGGATCTTAAATGACCTGTTGGTTCATTTGGTTCCTGAAAGGGAGCTCGGACAGGTGTCACGTTGCATCCAATGAACTTTATTTTCTCTGACTTCCATTGTACTGTGTAGTTGGAGGATAGCATTGTTTGGGCCATCACAAGGCCCTTACAAGCCAGAAGTAAGATACCACAAAGCAAGACTAAACTTTGCTGTTCCTTTCTTGCTCCAACCCAGTGCTTCTCGTTGGAAAGAGCATAGCTTGGTATTACAACACCTCCACTGAACCCATGACGTATGATGAAGCCAGTGCTTACTGTCAACAGAAGTACACACATCTGGTGGCCATCCAGAACAAGGAAGAGATCAACTACCTGAACTCCACCCTGAGATATTCACCAAATTATTATTGGATTGGAATCAGAAAAGTCAATAACGTATGGATCTGGGTGGGGACCCAGAAGCCTCTGACCGAGGAAGCTAAGAACTGGGCTCCAGGTGAGCCAAACAACAAGCAAAGAAACGAGGACTGTGTAGAAATCTACATCCAAAGACCCAAAGATTCGGGCATGTGGAATGACGAGAGATGTGACAAAAAGAAGCTGGCTCTGTGCTACACAGGTATGAAGAGTCTGCCGGGTGGAAGGCAGGTTCTGCACACAGGCAGCCTGACAGAGTTAAAGAATGCAAAAACAATTAGTCTCTGCTGTGCACATACTCGGCTCTTAAAGAGAGGATCATAAACACTCCAATAATAATGGGCATCTCCTTTTAGTGATTTCTGTGGGTAAAGTCAAGAATGTATGGGTATATGTATACATGCATGCAAACATAGCTCTATCTATATTTACAGAGTATATACACTTGAATAAAATATGTGTTCTAGCTGTTTGTTTGTAGCTATTCTACTGGAATTCATTTATTACCACCAAATTATACAGCAGATGAACCTAGGCCTTGGATCTGGCATGTCAGTCAAAATCTCGAGCCCTGATGTCGTTAGTATTATCTGGATTGCACTGATTCTAAATTAGAAACAAACAAAAACACACGATGAACGCTATGTGACTGACTGTCCTCACACGGACTGTGCTTTCTCAGCTTCCTGTGCCCGTGAATCCTGCAGTGGTCACGGCGAGTGCGTGGAGACCATCAATAGTTACATCTGCAAGTGCCACCCGGGCTTCCTTGGACCCAACTGTGAGCAAGGTAAGTCTTGTCCTCGCCTGTTCAAACATGTCTCCAAAGATGGTCTCGTGTTCCAGATGGCTTGTCAGCAGGGTCCACGTGTTTTCTCTACCTGAGTACACAGAGTAAGAGTACTGTAGCAGGTGAGACTATGAAATCAGACCCTCCTGGGTCTAACTCCAGACTTACTACCTTGAAGAAGTAGTCTTACAGGATGATGGCATATTTCAGTTGTCATCAAACTAAACTTAATACTGCACGTGACAGCTCTCTGTATCCAAGCTTTTGAGGTTTCAGAGAAACACAAAGCTAATAGTAGAGAGAGTGTCACAGTCTAATGGTGCCACAGAGCCTGGACCACAGGAAGTGTCCAATGGGCAGTAATGACAGTGTCCAGTGTTCCTCTCTCAAGTGCAAGGTGGGAGATGAGCAGATGTGTGACTTGATTATTTTTTTCAGTTGTGACCTGCAAACGACAGGACAATCCTGACCACGGAAGCATGAACTGCACTCATCCTTTTGGCCTCTTCAGCTATAATTCCTCCTGCTCTTTCAGCTGTAATAGGGGCTACCTGCCCAGCAGCATGGAAACGACCACGTGGTGTATGTCCTCTGGAGAATGGAGCGTGCCAGCCCCAGCCTGCCACGGTAACGCTCAAATGCAACAAAGCTTTTCACTCCTCCTCATTGCCTTCATTTCTATCCAACATATAATTTACTCCAATTCTGTGCAAAGTTCTTCTTGTTTCATTTAACAAAATGAATTCTCTCTATGGGTTGTATGGGAAACCCGGTACCTGTTAGGTTTAATGTAGGATTTTTCACTTTTTTGGGTATTTGGGAGGGCAGTATTTCTGAGGTTCTGGGGAGATGTAAAGGAAGTTGTCATGGAGACGGTGGAAACACATCTGGTCAGCCTCATGACTTTCTTGTGGACTTTCCTGTCCAGCTCTCCCATGCACTGGGACCTACTTTAGCGATGATCTTCTGCTTACACAGCTATCTTAGTCCTCTGGGGCAATCAAAAAGATTCACTGCTTAGGTCCTTTGTATGTCAATATTGCTTTGACACCAAGTCAGGAATCTTGATCTCAAAGCTGTTATTTTCTTCATTTTTGTTGTTTCTACGTGTAGTAAAATAAATCAGAAACCACCCAGTATAGTCAAAGCGAAAATTAAGAGGAAAATATAAAAATATGAATAGCATAGTAAAGACTTAAAACATTTGTTATGAGTCTTTATGTTATCAAGAATTGGCTCGGGAGTTTGGGCCATGCCCTTTGAAGATGGGTTTCACCTTCTTTGATACACCGTAATTTAAGAGAAAATAAAAGCACCTATGGAATTTTCTTTGAGTGAAACTCTCTCTTCTCTTTCATCTCCTCAGTGGTTGAATGTGAAGCTTTGACAAACCCTGCCAATGGTTTCAGAAAATGTTCCTCAAATCCTGGGAGCTTCCCCTGGAACACGACCTGTACATTTGACTGTGAGGAAGGGTACAGACGAGTTGGAGCTCAGAATCTACAATGTACCTCATCCGGGATCTGGGACAATGAGAAGCCATCATGCAAAGGTAGTGTTCTTCTGTGTTGAGATCCATCCATTCTCTTCCTTAACCAAAGGCTGGAGATGGGCAAGCTAGGTTTACTAATTTGGAGGGGTGCTTGTGTTCCAGCTGTGACCTGTGATGCCATCCCTCAGCCTCAGAATGGCGCCGTGAGCTGCAGCAGCTCAACAGCTGGAGAGCTGGCCTTTAAGTCATCCTGCAACTTCACTTGCGAGCACAGTTTCATGCTGCAAGGGCCAGCCCAGGTTGAATGCAACGCACAAGGGCAGTGGATACCACAGATTCCAGTTTGTAAAGGTGAGTAAGAAACTGTCCCTTTAACACTCTCATTTCCACAAACTCTGTCATCTTCTGTCTTGGACAATGACATCGGGTATCCCCTGTAACTATTATGAGGGCAACAGTAGTATCGTGGAAATTGATGTTTAAAAAAGGAACATATGGCCAGAAAACAGCACTGTATGCAAGTGACATTAAAAAAAGATGTTTTTTTTTCTTTTTTGTTTCTAAACTAGAGTATATTAATAACATTAATTTGCTGGCATTGGCATAGGGTAAGGAGAATTCTTAATGTAAGAGAAACCCCATTTAAAACGTACAATACAGAATAATGGAAGTG